GTATCTGTCATGAAGAAGTCATTGGCCTTGCAAAATTTTATCATGCGATCTCCAGCTTCACTTCTATCACCCAGGCTTTATTTTCCAACTCCTGGTCCTTCTTTGTTTCCAACTGTTGCATTCCAATCAACAATAATCATCAATGCATCTTGCCATGTTTGACCGATTTCAGATTGAAAAAGTTGGTAAAATTATTCAATTTCTGCATCTTTAGCTTTAGTGGCTGGCATACACATTTGAATAATAGTTTTAACTGGACTTCCTTGTAGGCATATAGATATTATCCTATCACAGACAGCACTGTACCTCAAGACAGGTCTTAAAAGGTTCTTTTTGATGATGAATGGGACACCCTTCTTGAATTTGTCATCGTAGCATAATAAAGCATATAGTTGTCCAACTCAGAAGGGCCAATACCAGTCTGTCTGAGCTCACTAATGATTGAGGACCTCCAATTTTCTGTGTGGGTTGGGACCAAGCAAAAAAGGTCATGTAGGGTCAGATCAGTTTTACATCCCACTAGGCTTAAAATGAGCTATCCCAGGGGCAGAAAGGGAAACTCATGATGGCCAAGAGAGACAAACCAGAAGTAGAGGCCATCATTTGGACCAAGGATGTCTGTGCTGGCCTACTCTACTCCAAGTGGCTAAGAGTTGTGATCCTAGAGATGAGGGTGAGAACCAGCGGAACTGCGTGGTAGGTTTCCCAAGGAGCGCGGAGGAGGAGTGCTTTCCAGCAGGAGGCTTGCTGGTGGAGTAGGTGCCCCCAGGCACTTGATATGGAGCTAGAGTTGCCAACTCACAGAGGGAGAAAGCTGAGCGCCTTGGGTTTTAGGCTTATTGGCAGAGGGGGATTCCTTGAACCAGGCAAAGAGGAGAGAGTGCCAATGGGAAGGACATTTTAAAAATCGTTCCACTTTCACCGGTGAAAAATCGGGAACCATCACAACAAATCCTTTTTCTGGAGCCAACTGTAAAACTGGTGAGCGTCAACATCATCATCAGACCTCTTCTAACTTCATGGAGGGGGACTTCAGGTTAGCAGACAGAGGTCAGATATTCCTCCACCCTCCAATCTGTATGCCATCCTCCTACCAACTGTCCCTGGCATGGCACTCTCCACTCTGCTGTGAGATTTGATCACTCATTGCAGTGCCCACATGAACTCACCCACATTATTTATGATTATGTGGTTTGGTGGGAAGTAACTGTCGGGCAGAAATGGGAGTTGGCAGGGCAGGTGAGTGGAAAGATACCCGGGCTGGTGAAAACACTTCAAGGTCGCTGCGAGAGGCCAGGCCTCCCCCTCCCCTAGGTGGTCTTCCAACCCCAGATGCAGGAGGCTGGCCATTGCAGATAACCATGTAGCTTTGTTCCTGCCCAAGTCGCAATGGGAAATTCCCCAGCTACTCCCTCCCCCAGACCCAGCCTATAAAACTCTCCACAGCTTGCCCCGACAATGTGACTTTTTGGGCCCCTAGTTAGGGACCCGTGAACCTTGCCCAGTAGCTCAGGATGTTCCCATCCCTTTCTCTGTACTCCCCTCCATCCCGGGCGGCACAACTTCTCTGGCCTCAATTAGGGACCCGTGAAC